GGCGGCAGGCGTGGGCACGGGGAGTCAGATCCGGCCTGCAGGCTGTAGTTTGAGGACCCATGTTCTGGATCAATGCCTAGAATCAATAATGGATTTGAAGTGAGCCAATAAATTGAAGCTGGGTCCTGTCCCTATGTATGTGTGGTTCACAAGCCCAAGAACTACGCATTTTGCCTATTCTAGATGAGTTTGCCCCATCTTGGATACAATGTTTAATGTGGTGAGGGGCTTTAAAAGTGTCACGAAAGCTGAGAGCAATGCCACCAGGTGCTCAGCCCCTTTCACTGGGCTAGTATCCCACCATGGTCACCCAAGGTAGAATGGTCAAAGCAGAGACACCAGACTAAGATGCATCCACCTTCTTCAGGAGAAACGGCCACATCAGCAGAAGAGACTGGATCTCCATAATGGTGCTACGGTGCATAAACTACTGAAGGGCAGCCACTGAGCAGCAGTGGTAGTCGAAGGTAACTATCAAGGCAAATTGAGAACCAAACAGCAAGAAATGAAACAGGTAAACACTGCAGTCCTTGATGTAAGCAAACTAAAGCGGGCTGGAATGGGATATTTTCAATCAGACAAACACAAAGTGTTTTACTCTGGAAATGAAAAACTCAGAAGAAACACAGCATCTCTAATACTAAGGCAAGAGGTTGCACAGGCACAATGTGCCTTCTACAATGTGAAATCCAACTGAATCATATCAATCAGAAATTGTACAAAACCTATCAACATAACCATCATTCAAATCTATGCTCCAGCAACAGATGCTGAAGAAGAAATCAAAAATTTAATGCAGGTGTGCAAAAGGAAATTGATCTCATACCAAAACAAAACATGCTGATAATCCTAGGTGAGTGGAATGCAAAAATTGGAAACAATACAGAATCAAATGTGGTAGGAAAATCTGGCCTCGGAGAAAGAAACAAAGCAGGAGATCATCTCATATAATTTTATGAAGCCAACAATCACAAACATATAGTTCAAGCAATGGATCAGATGACTGTATATACGGACATCTCCAGATGACCAGTAGAGGAATCAAAGAGATTGTGTACCTGGTAGCAGATGATGAAGAATCTGCATTCTCGTTGCCAAAATAAAACCAGAAGCAGATTGTGGTAATGACCATATATATAAAATTATCACTAACAGAAACATAAGAGTCAAAATACAACTTCAATAACATCCCTGCAGAATTTAAAAACCACATAAGCAACAAACATGCATTACTCAACTCAAATGAGCATAAACAAGAAGAAGTGTGGACTGAAACCAGATAAATTATTGGGGAAGAATACCAAAAGATAATCCTGTAGCAAAAGGAAAGAAAAAGTCGAGATGGGTGACACAAGAAACACTCACATTTGCTGAGGACAGGCAAGAAGCAAACACAAAAAGTGACAGCAATACAGTAAGAATCCCAACATGAGACTTTTCCATCACTCTCACATTGAGTCAAGAAGAACAATTACTATGAAATAGAAATAGAAGAGACCAATAAAAGAGGAAAAATGAGAGACCACTTCCTGAAAAATCCACGAAAGGATATGAAGATGATACCATACTACTGGAAGAACGCAGCAATGAATTGAAATGGCTCATTCTGAAAGTGAAAGAAATGAGTGCAAAAGCAGGAGTACAGCTGAACATTAAGAAAACAAAATTCTTGACTACAGAAGAATTACAGAACTTTAATGTTAACAATAAAGAAACTAAAATTGTGAAAGGTTTTATATAGCTTGGCTCAATCATCAACTCAAATAGAAACTGAAATTCAAAGAAGATTGAGACTTAGAGGGACAACAATGAAGGAACTAGCAAAGATCCTGAAGAGTAAGGATGTTTCACAGGAGAGCAAGATCATCAACGCCATTGCATTCCCAGTCATCATGTATGGGTGAGAAAGCTAAAAAAGAGCCAACTTGATTATTTCTCCTATATGCATGTTTACAGCCTACCTATTAAACATAGGAATTTCATTTTCACCTGATGAAAATAAACTAGTCTGCCTATAACTAGCAGACTTTACTTTGGTCTATTAATCCTGTGTGTTTCAGTTTTGCTTACTCTTTGCTTTTGTGAGGTTGAGGCCAAGCCAAGACAAAGTAAGAAAGCAGAAAGAAGCAAAAAAGAAAAATTGCCCATTGCAAAAGTTCCTATATTTCCATGCTTCACCTTACAATATAACTGGTCATAAGAAAGGCTTGATATGGAAATAATTAAAAGCTTTACAGCTTAAGAAGGAAAGCATAGCGCAACAAAGAGATGCAAGGCCAGGTTGAAACAATGTAAATAATACTTGGATGTAAATTAACTTAGTTCAATGGCCAGATCTGTGCATTTTCAGAAAATATAGATTAATATTAATGGAAAACAGTATATAAATAAATGATTCCATTTTCAGTTTTCTAGTCAATTTAAATAACCAATTTCAATCTCCTTAATTAAAGGCTAGCATCCTTTAATTGGTTTGCTGATATACTAATAATGATACTAATATCAATAGTCACTCAACACAGAAATGTAACATCTCAGTATCCATTTGTTGGAGACAGCAATACTGTTTTTGGATAAATCCTGCTATTTCCAAACAACTAACAAAAGAGTCACTTTGCTTGCATTTGGAATAATAGGTATTCTCTAGGCAGGTCCACTAAAACTTACAATCCCCTAGCTGTACTTGGGATTTAAATCATGAAATATAGCATTGCTCAATAAATTTAATTTTGGTGCCTCTAAGGAAACAATAATAATTGGGAATTCCTAAGTAGTTATAGGCTTCATGGTAGGACTCATCTGTGGTACAGAGCGTGAGGCAGGAGTTTCACAAAGTAGCTTCTGTAGCTTCAGTGAGGTGACCACCTATATTCAGAGATATGGCCACCTTGCTCAAAGAATAGCCCTATAAGTAGTGGTGTCTAACAACACCACTCAATTAGTGATGGCTGAAGAATCTGAAGCAGGTTGCTCAACTATACTAGAACCTCTGCTCAACTAACAGCAAGCTGGGCTACCATCTTGATTCTGCTTACCTCTTGCCCTGGTATCCCCTTTACTTTCCCCAAGAAAAACAATTCAAACTCATCATCCCCGATGGGAAAAACACAGAGAACATAATATTCCTGACAGCAAAGAACGTGATGGATGTCTCCCGTCTTTGCTAGAGTCTTACACCACCTGCTCCCTCCTTACTTTTATTCAACATGAGGCTTTTTCCCTTGGGAGACAAAAATAGGCAAAGAGGACTGGTTAGCCACTGTGTTCTTCAAACTTTCAGATAAACCTCTTGAGGGTTTCTGAACATTTGACAATCATGCTCAAAATAACTAATTGATTTTAGGGGTGAGTACCTTGATGCTTGTGCAATTTTATATTCAACTGCTACTTTCCACAATCTCATCAGGAGGAAAGCGGGAAAAAGAAAGCTTGGCTCATTGTGAACACCGTAGATTTCTGCCAAATGGACTTCACAGGCTCCAATGAAATTTTAAAATCCTCCTCAAGCTTATGTGTTCTTGAAAAACAAATGGTTTTAACCTCTGGCAAATCTTCAACAATATGATGCTTTAATTCTGTTGTCTGCTACATGTGTTCAAAAAGATATGACTCAGAGAAGGTTATATTTAACAAAACAATACTGTAAAATATTTCAGTACTTGATGTTTTAAAGTAATTCTAAATTTTAAGCAGCACTTCTAGCAGCCACAGAATTTTAGCATTTTCCTGCTACCAAGTTGCACAGTTTAAACTGCTTGAACAAGTTAAATGGGGCTGGCCCTTCCACTGGGCAGCGTGAGCCAGCAGAGGCTGAGAGGCAGCAGTCACAGGCTCCTAGCTGTTCTTCATTTACTATTTATCATGAACTGCTCTGTCAAAGGAAAGAGTTGTACATGCCACAGAATTAGTCCTGAGCCCCTAGACTAGGCTGCTAGTTCAGATGTGTTAGAAGTCACGATCTCATTGGCAAAACTAGAGTCACCTGCCAGTTCTGTAGGAGAGCACCATCATGTTATTTGCCCCTTCAAGTTACCACAAACATATAATAAATGTTGATGTAAATTATGTAGGAACACTCTCCTAATTTCTTTGCCAAGGGAAACTTTCCAAGCACGTTAGCAGACCTCAAAGGGAGCTGACTTCAATATTTTACAGTTAGCAATCCAATAATTAAATTCAAAAACTAAATGTGCTTTGAATTTCATAGCTATCTTTATGAAAATCACAAAATTTCCTATCAGATTCAGTATCTGCCTTCTATTACACGATATTCCTTATTTTAAAAGTGTCTTGTGGGAGGGTGTACCTAAACAAGTATATAGTTGTCAAACAAGCCAAAATAAATCCTCAATTTCAAATTCTGTAGTGTAATAAGGAAGTTTAATTAAGGCCATACTATGGCTGTAAATATCCTCTTATATAACAAGGTCTAAATGAAGTTACAATTCCTTCATTAGCAAATTACAAACAAGAAAGCACAGCTGACACACTAGTGATGATTATCACAACTAATTGCCTCGTTGTTGCAAACCAGCCTGAAACAGTGTTCAGATGTCCTTCTGCAATAGCAAATGAGGGCCACATCAGGCTATTTCTGTGATCACAAGGGGCTCTTGTACAGCGATCTGATTTACCCTTGTCGACTGGCAGCAAACGGCCCTATCAAAGCACTCTCCACAAAAGGCAGGCTTTGAAGCCAGCTCATCCTAGAAGAACGCTCCATATGCAGGCCGGCAGACTGCACTTCATTAGGTCTGTTGTCACATTTCCCCTCTTCTTATTCTAATGATCCTATTTTAATACACATAGGAACCTCTCCTAATTGATGTCAAGTGAGTGACTTCAACATTCATCACCAGAGCACATCAAACAGATCTTGGCACACAAGCCCAGCATCATGGTTTTTAAGACCTGAGGTGTGTCTCCAAGTACCAGAAAGCATGCGTGTGCACACACACACAACACACACACACACACACACACACACACACACAATATACCTGTTTAATTGGGATTGCACGGCCGCTTCCAATGCTATCTGCTCTGCTCTCCAATCCTTTCTTCTCTTTGTCTGGGTCGCTCCCTTTCCGAGACTGCAGAGTAAAAGCAACATTAGCACTCTTAACACATTTACTTTTTTCATATTCACATCTTAAATTTGAGGAGTTGTTTTAATATGTCAGAATATAGTTCATAATTACATTGGTACCTTTTTAAAAAATAACCTGCATGTTAAGATTTAAGCTTTTAAATGCTGAGTGTCAAAAATACAATACAGATAGAAAAAATGCTCACAGGAAAAACCGTGTGCCTTTCTATACAGGAAACTTCCTATACAACTGTATATACTTAATTATCATCTGATGAGAATTTAAAAGGCTATTAACTATTCAGCAGTGTAATTTTATGGATTACCTTGATTAGAATTAAATTAAATTTAATTTTCTCTTTTACTATCAAATGAAAGCATCAAAGTCGAGCCAAAAATGCTTAGAAAACCAAGCTGCTTTGACAAAGCATAAAAGTTCAAAATACTAATCATTTTTATATTCATACCTTTCTCAATATAAAGCCACATGGATAAAATATAATGGAAGTATAGGTTTTACCAAAGTGCTTTGTTTTAAAACTGAACAATTATTTTATCTGGGTGGATTAGAAACCCACATAAGCAATGCCTATTAAAAACATTTCACAGGACCAAAATTATTTTGTTCCCTTTTTCACAGCTATGATACAAACACGCACAATCTTATTTAAGAAAATCTTGTGTCCTCCTTTATTGTGAGATAAGTAAATCTACATTTGACAGATTTATTTTATTATGAGCAAGATCTAAAAGTCATCCTCCTTAATAACTACACTGACAAGTGACAACTTCACTCCATTACTTTTCAGTGGGAACATTACTCACGCAATATTGAAAATGGGGAAACATTTTCATGCACTTTTCAAATCACAGATGATATATGAAGTGAACGTATCAGTGATGTCCACAGCCACAACTGAATGCTAATAAAAACCAAGCTGTTTTTTCTTCAGTACATTAGAGAGTTGTCTAAGACATTCAACTTTGGAATACAAATTAAAATAAGAATGTCAGTCAAAACTAATTTTTCTATTTTATAGAGATGGGTATAGAGATGAGTAAAGAAAAAAGTAAGGAAAGTTAATTTCAAAGAAAGAAAACAATACAACCTTATCGCCATCATCAACCATACTGCAACCTATGCAGAGCTTGCTGCAGGCAAGCTCTACTTACTGATAGGTACAGAACTTGAAAATAGTACACTGAAGAATTTATAGAGTACAGTGATAAATTCTAATATGAATTTCTCTAAAAGATGTAAGTGAAAAATAATGCTTACAGTGGAGAAAGTAGAAGGATTAGATGGGAATTGAAGTTATGAGTGAGTTCCTAGCATTAAGAAATCCTGAACTGGCATCTAACACTTTCCTATTCTTCTGACTCCCTTTTTGAGCTAACAGGCTAGAAATACAGCAAACAAGTCAGGTTTACTTAACCCTCAAGTGCATGTCCAGCCACCACTTCTCCCAACTTAGGTCAGCAGGTTTCATCTGTTCCCTCCATGCATGGATGCTTCTGTGACCTGTCAGGCTTTCCTCAGCCCTTTGTGATATCCTTTCCTAAATCTACAACAGCTAGAATAGCTTATGTTCAAAGCAGTACAATCTTTACATAAGAAATTTTCATTATGAACACAGAAAAGTCTTAAGATGACTAAGTACATCTAACTCCTAACAGGCCCTAAAACCTGCTCCAGCATGCCATGGGCTCTCAGTTCTGCACATTATTTGGTTCACATTCAAGATCCTTTAATACTTATTATAACATATGAACTAATAGTAAATGCAGTTATCACTGTTTGATGGAAAGCAGTTATCCCTTTTTAAAAAATATACAGCACACACTCAAAGTAACAAATACTAAGATAGGTAGAATGATGGCATAGAGGTAGGAGATCCATCTTCTTAAAAGGCTGGGGAAAAATAATATGTATACAGTTATTTCCTGATCACCTATTGCCAAGTGGTTCAGTTAGTGATCAAGTAGGATGTTTTCATAAACTGGAAGGAAGTTGGTTCATTTTTTGTTTTTTATTAGTTTGTTACAAATGATTGACATAAAGTGCTCAGGTAGAGTTGTAAAGTTTATGGGATAACTTTTTTGGTTTTATTTGCAAGGCTAATTTTATACTTGATCTATGATAGGAAGTTCTCCTGTGCAAACCATTGTCATAAGTTACCACACATGACTGCTGTACGTTAGCTTTGGTGCTCAGCATTCTTTTACTTTCATATTATGCAGGAAAAAAATAATTTGTGCTAGGGAATAACTCCTTTGTCTTTCTGCTCAGAAATTGTTGATTTCTAAGCAGTAATATCACATTCCAAGTAAATTTCCTTTAAAAGAATGGAGTATGCAACAATTTTGGTCCCAATTTTATTATATATAGAAAATAATGGTGAATTCACAATACAACTCTTGATCAATAGTGAAATTGTAACTGTTGGCATGAAATCAAAGTAGATTCGGTATCATTAATACTTTATAAAAAGAAGTGTTAGTACTGGTACAACTTCAGAAATCTAGGACAGAAGATCTATTTTTTTCTTTGTAAGATTTTTCTGTAAGATCAACCATACTATCCACAAATAATCAGATATAATATCTGTTGTTTCATGAAGTCAAATTTTCATTAACATGACTTCAACTGCCATCCAAGCTATGTTTTTGCTTTCAAGCAAATAAGCCTTCTTTTGTCATTAAAGTGATGTGGAATCCATTTCAGTTTGTATTGAAACAGAAGAATGCATACTTGTCTTTTAAAGGTAATTGAAATCATTAAATGGTTTTGTCTACAATGATTTGTCTAAATATTTTTGTGTTATTTTGGTACTATTTGCTGTTTTAATGCTTTACTCTTATGTGAGTTATTTTATATTGGTAACGAAAGGTTTAGTCCTTGTTACCCACCTTGAACTCTCTGGAGGATAAGTAGAAGAATAAACATTTTAAATAAATACATACATGAAATCTGTAACAATATGCCTATTTACTTCCAAAACACTGTATGGTATCACAAGCTACATACAGAAACAAATTTCCCTCAGAGAAATGACAGCAGAACTATATATCACATTAATATGAAGTTTGGGGAATTCTGAGACAATCCAGGAAATGTGTTTAACTCTATGTGATCTCAAGAAGTTAGAGAAACCCTGCAGAAACCCTCAGTGAGACAGAGCAGCTCTGTATATTTGATTTTATCCTCTACTTCATGGAATATAAAACATCAATCACGCAATTATACTCTTTGTGTGTGGGGGGAGTGGGGTGTGTGAGGAGGAGGCTTGCACTTTAAAAAAAATGAGAAGAATGCAAGTTTCTTATAACACTAACAAACTAGGTTGGTATGTATAATCTGCCTACTCAGAAGTTACTCCCCTTTGTTTCAGTGGGGCTTACCCTCAGTAAAGCAGACAGAGCTACAGCCTGGAAAGAAGCTCTTCTGACCACAATGGAGCTTCTGAGTAAATGAGGCCAGGACTCCAGCCCAGGACTCCATCCCCCAAGAATCCAAGCTTCTGGGAAGAAATCTTCTGAAGCTTAGAAAGTGTGTATGTTACAGAAATGCTAAAATTTGCTTGATGGCCACTCCTACCATTAAGAGGTCAGAGCAAGATGCTATGAAACTTTTCCTTTTAACACTGATGTACTGGCATCATGGCAGAAAGAGTACTGAAACATCCATTTATATTTGAAAGCATCTGTTAAATCAGTGTTTCTAATGCTTTCGTTTTTTTGTTGGGGAGCGCTTCTGTAACAAATTTTCTATATGAAGAATGTAACCTCTTTATAAAATTAACAAACTGGGCTGGTGTTTATAGCTGCTAAATTACTGTTTGACACATTATCCATCAGGATGTGATTCCTCCCTTAGAGCTACAAATTCTCTTTTCATACAAAAATTCTATGCAAAAGTACTACCCCACCAAAACATTTCTGCACCATGACATGAAGCAAACCTGTCTAAAGGAATCCACCTCTCCCGGCTAGTTTTATGTGGCTAGTGAATGAAACTACCTTAGCAACACCTCCATGAATCAATTTTGAAACTGCTAGCATATTTTTTTTTACTCTCTGGAGATGAGTCATGAAAAACAATACCAGTGTAGTCAACCCTTCCATTTTAGTCCATTACACTGAGCTTCAAAATATAAAGTCTGCCCCTCCACAATCCTGAGCAAAGTGAGTAGAAACTGAATCTGTAATTTCAGCATGCAGATTCAAATGCCCTTTGTCCAGGCCCTAATTTGCCTGTTCTAGATTCCATTGCTTGACTGACACTGACATCTAGTGGAAGAAGTAGTTAAGGTTGGCTAGCAGATAAATATTGCTATACAATGCATCACCCTGCAGCCCTAGAATGTCTGCATCACCTTCAAAAATGGGTAGGTTCAATTCTCCTAGGCAAACCAATATTGTTGCATCACTCCATTTGGTTCTGAATTACTAATTAAATCAGAATCTTTTGTGTGGGTGACAGCAAGGACTTATCCAACTCAGTATGGTTAAGTAGTTTTCATGGCTGCAATTGAAATAACCCCTTCCCATCTCCCCACCTATCCTCTATAGACAAGTTACTGTAGCTCTCTCGACTTTCTCTTTGATTTAGTTACCACAATTCTCAGCATATGTCTCCTGAAGCTGCAGTGCTTCATGGTCATTCCTCATCAATGAAGAGGGTAATCAAACACACAGTTATGCCTTAGTCTTATGGCCTCACCACAGTATGCCCTAATGTTAGCGTATTATGCCCACAGCATAGCCAAAGAAAAGCACTAAGCACTTTATTGAGACGTGTAAAATACTTCAACCACCTCATTAAAACAAGCCACTTTCAACTAGTAACTCAAAGACACCGAAGATTGGTATTCCAGATACTATACCAAGTACTGTTCTGCTTGTCAGAAATATGCAGGGTCTAATATGCACAATAATTAGTCTAGCAAGCTCATATTATTGCCCATTCAGGATGCTCTTCACAACAATAGAACGTAATCAAGA